GCTGTAAAGCGCCAGTGTAATCAGAGCCTGCAGCACTGCACGCTCGCTCGCAGCGCTGCAAGCTATTCCCCTGGGAGAGGTGGAGTACATACAGCGCTGCGAGAGAGCTCTTGCAGTGCTGGCGGTGCGACTACACTCATGCTTCACAGCACTGCCACGGCAGCGCTGGGAAGTCCCGAGTGTAGCCAAGGCCTAAGGGCTTGTCTACACTGGCACTTTACAGCGCTGCAACTTTCTCATTCAGGGGTGTGAAGAAAAAAGAAGAAAAAAAAAAAACCCCTGCGTGCTGCAGGTTTCAGTGCTGTAAAGTGACAGTGTAGACAGTGCACCAGCGCTGGTAGCTATCCCCCTCACGGAGGTGGGTTTTTTTTTAGAGTGCTGAGAGAGCTCTCTCCCTGCACAAGCCAAGTTAAAGGGCTGCACCGGTGAAGACGTGCCCTAAAGCCTCAGTCCCACTGAAAACAGATAACATTTTGAAAGAGCAAATCTTTGCGAGTTTCTCTGAGAGAAGATTTTATACATCAGAATCTGCTGACAGATACATTGAAAAAGCAATGGCAAAAGACTACCACTCAATAGGAGGCCAGGAGGGAGGTAAAACAAGCAACATGTGTGGACTTAGGGGAATGTGGAGGATAGATGAAAGGGGAATATAGGGTGTCCATCCTGGCTGATTTCCACTGCTCTGCTGATGCAAAGCAGCTCTAAACTCTAATGGCGAAAAACAGCCAGAGTATACCAGTGAATTGGGCTTTCAAAATTAAAATAGGATATGCACCCATAGCACAAGATATACTCCTATTGATTTATTTAATATAAATTTGAAGAAAAATAACGGTTCAGCCATGACTTGGGTGTATATCTTCACATATCTTCCTTCAAATCACCTACCCTACAATCCTAGATTAAAAATACAATTTAAAGTATGGCATACTTTTCCATGTGTCAAAAACTTGGGATAGGTTCCATTTTTTTCAAGCTCATGAGCTCTTAAACTAGCCTAGAAAATTCATCATCTACATGGTAAATTAAAAGAACGAGGAGTACTTATGGCACCTTAGAGACTAAGGAATTTATTTGGGCATAAGCTTTTGTGGGCTAAAGCCCACTTCATCGGATGCATGCAGTGGAAAATACAGTAGGAAGATTACACATATACATACAGACAGACAG